TTATGGGTTTTGGGACAAACTTCAAAGAGTTAGAAGTTAGAACCCTTGACCTTCCTCACCATTTTGTCTTTGGCTCTGTGCTAGGATAGTCCTCTGTTTGCTCTTATATGGATTTCCTAGTTACTTAAAACTTTTAGCGGGAGGGCGCTTGCTTTTCCGAAGTGATAGGGGCTAGAAACGTAGTTTGCTGATCTCATTTTCTTCTGTCTAATTGGACAGGACACTTTTCTTTTAAAGCCATGATCCACATTTCAAACCTAAAGGAGAAATGTGCATCCAGTTATTTTGATTCTGATAAGTGAAACATGGATACTGTTATTCTGAGAGTCTTGTAGACGATAGTTGGTATAACTTATGGACCTTGAGTGTTCTGAAATACTACAGATCTTATTCTAGTGTAAGTTTTTTTTCCTTCTATTTTCCAATTAAAGAAGCAACTAGATAGTAAAAATAAATGAGTGCTGCTGGTAGAAAGACTTTAGTCATTCAGTAAATTACTGCGTTTTGTATGTCAAAAAACGAGTTGGATTCTTGGGAATTAAAGAAGTATGACCTCTCATGGATACGAACAAAGAAGTTCTGTATCCTATAAATCATGTGTTCTACACAGATAAATGATTGTCCAAGAAAGGTAGTTGTCAAATTGCAGTTATAAAGCATGGTTCTGCTTTTATCTGATAGCCAGGGATATCTGGTTCAGGAAAAGTTTCCTTTGCTTGAGCAGTTGAATTTTGTCAGATATGCCCAAGGTTACACTAATCCACTGCTCTATCTTAGGATAATAAGATGGTTCTTCTATGTCAATGCCTATAAATGGTTCAAATATAAATAGTTCAAAAATTGCTTGGAGGTCTAGTATGCCAAGTGTCCTTCTCGGTTCTTGAACTTGCCAATCTGATCATTTTTATTTATTGGATATTAGCTGATACCATGGATTCAAGCCCATAATTAACTTTAGAGAACTTGATTTGCACCCTTGCGGTTGTGGTTTTAATGCAGCTATAACTACCTCCAAATCTCAGAAACGCTTTTCAGGAGGGGGAAAGGGTGTCAACCCTTGGTTGGTGGGAGTTTGGCATCCCCTTTCTAGTCGTGTGTTCACCACTTCTTATGGATGTATTCCTACCTTTACCTCCTCTTTTTTTGTTTGTTTTGGATTTGTATCTTTTGTGCAATTCCTAACAAATTGATGTAACCTTTTAAAATATCTGATTATACAGTATATATCGTGTCGTTTCTGGTTTGCATAAAACTACATGGTCTTTCTAGATAATTGAAATCTAGAATGTGAAGTGTAAATTCTTTTCGAGAGCAGGTTTGAGTATAATTTATATTATACATACACAGCATACTGCAGTTTTCAGTATTTTTTTATTTAATAAAAAACTCCCCTAATGGGAATGTTCTCAATTTTATATTTTTGCGTTGTTCAGTGGTGGGAATTGAACTCGGTATGTGGTGTTGCAATTTCAACATTGTAAGCAATCAAGCCTGAGCTTGAACCATTGATCCATGGAATATGAAAACTATGCCTCATATGGTTGTTGTTGCAGGGTTTTTAATTCTTAATTAAATAATTGGGAAGATATGGTTGAAACTTGATTTTAGAGCAATGCCAAGTTGCGCTTCCTTTATCAAGAGTCCTACTCATTGGTCCTAGTTCAGAGTGGAAGGTGTAAGATGGTGTTTTATATACTGTTAAAGGACTTTAGCCCAATGCAAAGTATGCCATCTATTAATTCTTTAATTATTGGTAGTCTCGAGGGAGTCTCTTTCGAGATAACTATTCTCATCCTTATGATATGCAGGATTGCTTGATCCAGTTGGGATTAGATGGTTATGTTCTATCTTTTGTGTTGCTTTGGAAAGAGTGGGGGTTTCTCAAATGATTATGGACGTAGCTCCCATACAACTTTTTGATGCTTCATCCATTGGAGAGTGACTATATTTTTGTAGGCACCAATATCAAGCATTCTACTCTTGGATGAACCTTGGGTAGTTATATTTGACAGGCTTTGCCATAGTTCTCTGGGGACCAGATTATAGGCTTGATATCATTGATGCCCTGTCATCATTATGCTGGCCAGGCTTCTGGGCTTGGCCAGATTTTACCAAGGTCTGAGCAGAAAGTTGTTCTGATGCTATATATAAGGATTAGAATCTTATTTTATGGGGTCTAAAGATGGCTGCATTATTTGAAGGCTACGTCTCTGGATGGTGTGATGTTACAAAATTAGTAGGCCCCACGTTCTTAGGTTTTAGCAGAAGAGAGTGCTGATTTGGCAGATATGGATGCAGAAATTACCTAGGAAGCGAGGAGCCACTGGCAAACTTTGCATATGTTCATGCATGTTTTGTGTCGATTTCGATGCGGCTGTTAAAAGGTATCTTACAACACCTATTGGTGGTTTTCTCAATCTTAAAAAAAGGATAACACACTTCACATTTATGAGACGGTTTCTGGCAACATGTTTGAAATTTCCTTGTGTTTGTTTATGTTCTTTAGGGAAGTAGTCTGTAGAACAATGTAGATAAATTCCTTGTCTATGAAATTTGATTTTAGGGTTATCTTTGATGAGGGGCTGTTTTATCATCACATTGAAGGTTTCTTTGAGAAGCGACCAATGAGGAGGTTACTTCATGGAAAAACTTGGTTTCTAAGCCAACTCATAAGAGTTTGTATGAGAAGAACATCATATGAGGCATAAATTTAATATTTGGGATCTGTCCTCCCCATTTGGAAACACATAAAAGAAATATGTGATGAGCTAGCAGTGCTGGGTAGAGAGGTCCTATGGTGTGAGAACACCTTCGCTACATCAGCATCATCATCTTCATCATCATCCGAGCCTTATCGCAATTATTTGCAATTGGCTACATGAATCATGTTCCTCCATTCTCCTCTATCACGAGCCACACCCTCAATATGACCAAAAGTCACCGTATCTCTTCTCGATACTTCTATCCATATTCTTTTGGCCCTTCCTTTTTCCGTTTTGGAGCCTTCCACATGAACCAAATTGCTCCTCCTTACTGGTGTTGCATTAGGTCTACGCTGCACATGTCTAGCGCATCAAAGTCATTTTCCCCTATTTCCTATTGACGCCACACATAAGTTCCCTCATATGTATTCATTCCGAATTCCGAATTCTAAATTCTTTCCTTTCTTGTCTTGCCAGTCTTTTATCTCAACATCCTCATCTCAGCTTCGCTCATCCAATGGATATGTTGTTTCTTGACCGCCCAACTTTCTGTCCCATAATGAAGGATTGGTCTTGTAGCCGTCCTATAGAACTTCCCCTCAGTCTCTATAGGATGGTTGTAAGACCAATCATGCTTTATGGGACGAAAAGTTGGCGGTCAAGAAACAAGATATTTTAGATTGTAATATATTTTTTTTTCATAGTCATGATTATCTTAGCCTAGATCATGTATCCCTAAATGTATGGATAAAAAATCCATCCATCTTGAAAATGAATTTTAAAGGGGGGATGCATGTGTACATATGTCGGCTGACTCATAGAAACTCCATCCTCTATGTATACTTTGTTAAGATTTACTGTATCGCAAACTATCAAGAAATGCTTCTTTCGAGCTCATATCTCTATATATTTTTTACTTGATTTCAGTTGGACCTGATTAGGGCCATGCATCGGTGTCCATATTTCCTGTTTTGGCAATTTGATTTTTGAGTGTACGATTGTATACTTCATGTAATCATCTGTACTAGTTGACTGTACTGCTGTAGAGTATCCTCAGCCAAAACTTAAAAGTGAAAAAGTATAGAACTCTTTAACTTCATTGTATTATACTAGTGTTTAAAGTTGTTAAAATTGCTTGTTATGAATCCCCATTACTTTTTTAATACTAAGAAAGAAATATCTAGGTATAGATAATCAATTCAGTTGCGTATTTTTCTTCTTCTCTGCTTCTTTTTGGGAAGTTGCGGTATTTTTTTTTTCTTCTTTGCTTCTTCTCAAGGTTTCAAAAACCACTAGGTAGCCTGCCTGATGCCCAACTTCTAGGCGGCCCCCAGAAAGTCTGGCGCCCTGTAGTTTTTTTCACGTTGGGGGGTTTTTATATATTGAGGTTTTTTTTTTTTACTTTGGGGGTTAAAAATAAAGCCCATAATTTTTTTTTTCCCTTTTGGGCGATTTAAAAAAACGAAAAAGGCCTTACAGCCGTGGGTGCCCGCCTGGGCCCCCGCCCAGGTACATCCGCCCGTGTAGGGCCGCTTGGGTCTAGGCATGCGGATTTTTGGTCCAGGCAGCCTAGGCCCCAGGCGGACCGTTTTTTAAAACATTGCTTCTTCTATGCTTCTTTCAATGTATTAAGCCTTAGAACTTGCGAATGTTCCACCAGGCCTGCCAAACTGATCATAATGTATGTTTTCAATAGTGGTTCGTTCTATACAGTGCCAATATCATTTTGTCTATTTCACCGAGATCCTTTTGCTTGGGGGACATCATCTTTTTTTAAAGGCTATGTTTTCTTTTCCATCTTTTTTTTGAAGGAAAGTTTATGTAAGGTTGCAACTTTAAAATGTAGTATTAAAGGTGCACCTCAAAAATCCATCATAGAAGGTTGTTTGGATGTTGGAAAGCCCGCTAATTGATCATCTCGACATCGAGACGTATGAATATGAAAAGAAAAAAAGGTTTCGAGTCCGCAAAATAGTATATCTTGCAACACTTTATCTGGACTGTCTATTTTCAAGATTTTCATGTGTTTATAGATCTACTGGATTTGAACCATTTTTAGAGTTTAAAGTTCTATAGTGAAAGTTCTATAGTTAAAGTTTTATAGTTAAAAGATGAAAATAGAGGAAAGTTCTATAGTTAAAGTTTTATAGTTAAACCATTCTAAGAAATTTTTATAGTAAAATTATATTTAAGATAAAATTTAGAGGTGCACCTTAATTGGATTGTTTAAGGTTGCAACCTTATGTAAACCACACCCTTTTTTAAATGCCGTGTCTGATCATTTTGTTTCATTTTCAGGGTTTCAAAGTCGCGAGGCAGAGTCTATGGAGGTCCGCTCCAAGCTGGCAAGCAGTGTCGGGCAACAGGCATCCATCAGGGGGACACTTCATGTCCAAGCATCAGAGCCTTGGCATCCAACTTGCCCAACTCAGCAGAGATGCATCTGCTGTAGTGAGTAACTTAGTTTTGGAATAATAGGGTCTTTCCGTTCATGTAAACTAAAGAAAATGGCTACAGTATCTTTGATTTCAAATCTGAGGAAACAAAAAAAGAATAAAAAATAAAAACTAAAAAAGAAAATGGAAAAAGAGATCGATCTAATAAAATTTTAGTGAAATGGAAATCACGTCATGTGTAAATAACTGAGCATCTCTGTATGGTATTTTTCAGGGTGCAGCTCGGAGGATCAATTCACAAAGGAAGACCGTTGAGATAGAGTCTGTTGCAGAAGCAGGAAAACCTGAACCGCGACGAGGAGCCATCAAAAAGTATTTCCGTGTAGAGGTATAAGAGCCATCTTTCATATTTACTGTTGCTTCCAAGAATTACTGTTGCTTCTTATTCTTGGAAGCTTGATACTCTTGGGCATCCAGGATTCTGCACGATAAAAATGAAAATGCGGTTCTATTTTTTATAAGAAAAACCATCTCTTCCCCTTTCCCCCCTCCCCCATGTTCTCTTGTGGTATGCATGGGTAATTTGGAATTGTGATAGTATCTGGGGCATTGGCTGTTGTTTGACACCAACCATCCCCACACACGGTGTGTCCCCCCAGCAACTCTCTCTCTCTCTCTCATATTGTGATGGTATGAATACTTCAGAATTCGTATGGCATGTGGGGCATTAACTTGTGTTTGACCTCTGTCTGTCTCATACACACACTCCCAGCCGCCCCCCCCCCACACACATACAGAGAGAAGGTTAGTATCTGAACGTCCACTCACTAGAGTGATCACTTGCACATGATTGATTCACATCCTGTACTCATGGATTAATTGAGAAGTTTAGCTATCTCTGTTCTGTTTAAATTACTGAAACGAATTGCCATTATGCAATATTGGCCTTTGGATGAGTGCAGTTCTCGGATAAGGAACAAGATGATCAGAATGAGGATCTTGATTTCAGGGCACTTGAGAGTGGCTTTGTAAGTTTGAAACTTTTGTCCTGTTCTTTCAAATGTCTCTAAACCTCTCTTCTAAATCTTGTTATGTTTTTTTCTTACGCTGGACATAATTTCTTTCCTGTATTTTTCTTATGGCGCAAACAGATAGCGGTCACACCCCTTCGTTTGACATCAAATGATGGATTGGAAGCAAACAATTTGGCATTGGAGTGGCTTGACAGAGCTTTTGCTCCTGATGCATGAGCCTCCTTGTTTTGTAGTGGGTGGCGTCTATGATTTGTATACATATCAACTGCTGAAGATTGAGAGAGGCATTGGCTCATGGTTTTACTTACTTTTTTTCTCTTTTTGTTTCACTTTTTTTTGGCTCTTAGATGTTGATGCAAAATGCATGCTAGTTCTGATTTGTTTCTGTTTTTCCGTTTCTCATTTTGTGTATCCGATAAATTGATGCTTTCCTTTAGATTTTTGGCCTTTGGTTCTATTGATATTTTGTGGTTTCTCTCTCCCCATGTAGACCGTGAAAAAGCCTTAGCTGGGTGCTATTTTGGTTATATTGACCGGTTCTTAAACCTTCGTTTAAACCAATGGTTTAAAAAATGGATCGGTGCCTCAGATCGGGCACCTCAAAAACCTATTCGGATCGATGAATCGACGATTTAGGTCGGGAATCGGTCGAATCGATTGGATTAAATTTTAAAAAAATAAAAAAAAATGATTAAAATTTATTATAAATGTTCTTTTTCAAGAATCAATTGGAAATGAGGGTATTACATTAAGAATATTTATTTTTTTCATTGATATGCAAATATTGAGATGCTCTTTCCTTGTAAATAAATTTAAAATTTATTTTATAATATAATCTAATTTTTTAAAAATTATTTACAGTTGTAATAAAAATAATACATTATATAATTTATAATGTAAATAAACAAACAAATAAAATATAGGATTTGATTATCAATATATAATTATGAATAGTAAATGAACTTTACAAATAAATAAATGTACAAAAATATAGAATTTAGAAATATAAATTTGCAAGTATATTATAATAAAATTAGAAAAATATATAACTATCATACTTGCAATGTGGAATAATTGGCAAAGCAACTTTAAAATAGATTTTAAAATGGTTCGAGTTATTGTTATTTTTTTAATTTTAAAATGTCCAATAAACTAATAATTTTTTGAATGGTCAATAAACTATTATTAATATTATTTTTTATTGTTCTAATATCCTATGAGTTAGTACTATTTTTTTCTTTTTAATATCTATTTTCTAATAACTTAATGCTTAATATCTAACAAAAGGGTTTTTTTATTACAAAAAAAGCTTAATTTAATTTTAACAATAGACGTTAATATTTGGCCCACATCGTCGAGTGAACTTGACAAAATTAAATGTAGATATCGCACGTTAATACTTGCCCTCAATGGTTTACAAATCGGATCGGTGACCCGGATCGGGCTTTCCAAAAACCTATTCGGATCGGCGATCCGGATCGGGAATCGGGTGAATCGGTCAGAATAAAGCTTCAAAAAAATCCGAAAAAATTATTAAAATTCATTATAAATGTTGTTTTTTAGGAATTCAATAAAAAATGAGGGTACTCCATTAAGAATTTTCATGTTTTTGAATGAATATGCGAATATTGATATGTTCTTTCTCTGCATGAACCGCCAAACATTTAATTTACATCACACAAAAGGATAAACATAGAATTATCATGGAATAAGTATATCAACATACATGGACTACAATAAAGCATAAAATTAGTAACATACGATCTAAAAATAAAATGATAGACGACGTTGTTGTTCTTCTTGGTCACGCTGGTGCCATTGATTGAATTCGTTTGACAATTCATTGATTCGATCTAAAAACGAATCATCGATATTAGCAGGCGTCTGACTATTCCCAAATCCCTGAGTGTTAATGTTTTGTTGTGTTTCCAATCCAAAATCCCCGAAGCTTGTCCATCCTTCATGTTCACCTGCACTGTCGTGTTCATCCCTACACTGTTGCTGTTGGGACTCGATATGTGAATAAAATGGCTGGGATAGGGTGGCCTTAGAATCATCATCTCTCTCATTTTCTCTTAGACTCCCTTCCCACTCTCCCTCATTAGGTGCAATATCACCGACATATTGTGGATACATTGGCTGGCTGCTTCTTCTTTCATGCTGCTCATCACTTTCTTCAATATCTTCATCACCGATAGCCTCAAGGAACGCTCTCTTGTGCAACACTGGCTCTTCCTCTTCTACTACCCATTGATCTGCTGTGTCTATGACAAATATTGTGTCTAAGTCTATCGGCCCATAGTCTTCAAGCTTCCTTCTTATTTATCGCTCTCTGAGGTTTAAATTATAATGAACGTAGACTAGTTTATGAAGCTTCTCAGAAGCGAGTCGATTCCTCCTAGTAGTGTGCAACCATTGGAACGTACTCCAGTTGTGCTCACAGCCAGTAGTAGAACATGTCTGGGAGAGCACCTTGATTGCTATCCTCTTTAGGTGAGGTGCATCAGTACTATATATCTCCCACCATTC